CGTGATTTTGGCAAGCCCAACTAGGTGTCCTACATTAATTGTTGATTTAATCACTAATTACAGTAAGAGTGGGAATCGTGTTGTTTGTTTAAAGTTAACAACTATTCTGGTGTATTGAATTGGACAGCAATACAAGCAACACGTGCTAAATGTGAGTCTTACAGGGAATCAGTCATCTGTTAGCCTATGATGAGTCGCTGCAAAACCAACTGTTAGCCTTTTTGTTTATTTGTTTAATAAAACCGTATGTTATGGTTATGTTATTTAGTAGAGGCTTTTATCCAAAGTGACTCACAAAAAACATAAAATAACCATAATTAATTAGAATATCAATACATATAGTTACATAGTCAGTTACATTACTATTACATTTTAACAGGGTAATTAGTCATCTGTAACCTACTACATTTAAAAAAAGTAAACTTCCCAACCCTGATCATTAATTATAGTCAGCTAATTAATTAAACTTCGAAGGATGACAAAAGCATGTCAATATGATCTGTCTGTCCGCTACATTGAATCAGCAGTAGCCTAAATTATGTCTTCAGTGTAAATGCTTCTTTAATAGTCATTGTATTACTATTTGAATTCATTGTAAATAATCGTAACTGTGCTGACTGCCTGTTTACCAGACAGGCTCATCATTTTGACATGTTTTGTAATATTGCATGAGGTGTTTTAGTCAGTTATTATGTCGGCCTATTCTGTGCTATTATGTTTGTCGTTCTTGAGGATGGTGATCCTGCAATATGCACGCTAGCCCTTACCTGCGAGAGCTTTAAATACATGGTGAGCCAGGGGTCATTCCAAAAGGAAGACCACTTCAACTGGCTTGACAGTAAGTTTATGAAGTTTAATGACACGGCCATATAATAGAATGGGTCCCAGGAGACCACATCTCATCTCCTCTGTCCCGTGCGCGCGCTGTCCTGCTATGTGGCGCGCACGCGTGCTTTGCGCCGTTCCCAGTGCCTGGTTGTGCATTACAGAGAGCGCTCACTGCCTCTGTCTGCACAACGGCTGTCACACTGGCTATGTCGCAGGCATATGTCTCCTCTGGTTGCAAATAGGATTCAATTGACATATAAATATGTTCACATACCATATAGAACCATTTAACGGTATAGCAATTTCAAATAAATGGTAGGTATTAGAATTGAAGAAGCAGTCACCTCTGAGATGAAGTTGGACTGATAATTTTCTTTTGACAATGTTGGAAAGCCCCGCATGAAGCAGAGCATCAAAAAATTAGTTATAACTCTTATTGGTCCTCTCCACGGAAATCTTTAGTAAAAGGCGAAAGATTTATGCGTTCTGAAGAGAACCAAGAGTGATCTACCCGTTGATCAGTTTGACAGCGATCATATTCACGAGAAAACTACTTTAAGTGCTGGTGTCGTATTGTGAAGTCAGCTTTTGCAGAAATATAATCCACATAATGAATGAATAAAGAAAATCTGAGAAACACAATTACCTTGAGTTTTCAATTTAAAAGAAACCCACGTGTATTTGACATTAGTTTAGACTCTTATGCCATGTCGCAATGCATGATGGGATTTCGGGTTACATTTTGGAAACAGCCGCCGATTCACACCGACTACACGCATACACACACGTGTGTTGGACATATATTATACCTTATGCATTGTAGACTTTCCATGTTAAAGAACCCACGTTTATTTTTGCATTAGTTAGACTTTTATGTTGTATCGCAATGCATGATGGGCACACACACAGTGATATAATGGTGGGTTTAACAGGCTTGGCAGAAAATAGTGTTAGTGTTAGAGCAAACACTGTTTGGTAGGTTACATATATTTACTCTGAGCTTTTGCATTACTATCTACTTCGTTTTACAAAGTTATTTCAAATATGCAAATTCATTATAGATAGATATACTAAGAAATATCCGTTAGATGAGCGTGTTTGGAATACAGATAGTACACAAACTAGTCTTTGACCGTGTACCCTGAGCGATCTTTCTTTTTAACATTCAGAGGGGGTGCACCGTTCCTGGAGGTACTGCAATACCAGGTCGATGCGTGGAGTGGACGGAGCAAGCCCCTATTCCATCTCCCTATTCCAAAAATCAATTTAATATATGGTCCCCGGGTAGGGGACGTATCAGATATTAAACTGATAAGAACAGATACTACACTTGATCTTAGCCAAAAGGCCGAGAAGCGATACTGGAATGAGTTCCGCGGTAATAGAGTCATTCTCCGCACAGTTACGCTCACTGACGGTTACTGATGTGTTTAAGGGACACTAGGAAAACCTATTCTAATTAACAACAGAGTTAATGGATACATTTATGTAGTCGTCATACAATAGACACATAGCAGAGTTGATGATTTACTGCGATTGGGTCTGCTGGAAAAATATATCGTGTTTTCACTGTGTGTGCTTTATGTGGTATGTTGGATGGTAACGTGACGCAAGGCATGATGGGAGTTTAGCACGTCTTTTATTATTATTTACAATTTCATTTAGAAATGCAAATGTAATCGTTGACATACGTACAGCTTGCAATGCCCCTTAATTGTGTGATATTTTCATATAGTTTGTTTTAAATTGTTCACGCAGAAAGAGATTTTATAAAACAAGATATTGTAGACTGGCTCCAGAGGCTGCAGGTAACATGCAGAACAACGCCGCCATGTGGAAACAAACCTATAGACCTCACAGAACTGTGGAATTCTCCCTTTCTGCATTTCCAAAAACGTCACTTCTAAAGTGATTAACACTGAGCAAAACAAAGAGGCCACAAAGATGTGTAATCAGGGCCGCCCCTGGCCAACTTGGGGCCCCAAGCGACATTGTGAGATGAGGCCCCCCCCAACCGACAGGAGTGAAAACATTTTTTTTGGAAACAAAGTAGGCTACTTTGCAAATATAATTCCTGTTCATTATTATTATCAACACAGTTACTTTTTTATACAGTGAGGTAAATGGTAAATGTGCATGTATGTCGTTCAGTATGCGTTTACAGGTGAATACGTCTGCATTTCCTGCCAAATACTAGCCTCACAAAGATTAAAATATAATGAATGCAAATAAACTACTTCTACTAATAATAATAATCATAATCAATTCAATAATATAAATACTATATTATTTTATTATAATATAGTTGTAATATAGTCAAGACAAAACATGCTTATGACATGCTCAAAAACTGATATTTCTTAAATCTGTATTCAAATGTAGTTCCCTCTGTCAGCAATGTATCAACAACTACACACACATTTCTATCAGTATTTCTCTGTGTTGTGGTTGACATGATGATGACTGTTAGGAGTTAAGGGGAGAGGCTGAGCATCACCATGAAATGTGCAAATTGACATAAAAAATCGCTGCTTTTGGTGTATTTTATGGCAGAAGTACAGCGCCACTTACAGGCCCGGCATATGTACTACAGCGTCTCGAGCAGTCTTGTGTGGACGGAAACGTTTCTTGAGCCGATACCGTGTGGACGGAAGACTTTTTTTATATCGAATTCGGTTCGTTCTCCATTTCGACTGTGTAAATGGAGGCTTAGTATCCTCCTTGTATCAAGGGTTTAAGGGCCAAAGGTGTTGCGACCTGTAGAGATTGTGAAGCCCCCTGAGGCAAATTTGTCTTTTATATTTTCGGGGCCATATGAAAATATTTGATTGTTGATTGATTGGCCATAAGGGGTTCAAGGGAGAAGGGTTAAAAGGTGCTCAGTAACTTAACTAAGATGCAAAGTTGAAACATTCTCAGGTAAATCTCATAAACAGCAAAGCAGCATGCGTACGTTCAAAGCATTGTTTGTTCCATGTTTTTCTACAGTCCCGTTTTCTCTCAGTCAAACCCCACATGTTGTGTCTCTGAAGACATATGAGAGGTGGAAAAAAATCCTGCAACCTCTGCTGAGAGTCACTGTCAGAGTGTAATCAGAGCTCATTTCAGCTGATTAAGTGCTGAGCAGAGAAGTCTGCTCACCAAGTGGCCTAACAAATTGATTGGACAACCTTTGGAGTATTCACATCTGTCAGATTAATACAGACCACCTCAGTTTTAAACACCACTTCACTGCAACAAGCTCACAGGAAAAAGCCAATATTCTCTTAAAAATGCTTGATTTAAATACAAAAAAATGCTTTAAAATGCTGCATCCTGTCAGCGTCAACCAGAAACAAGAAATAAATGGAAGATTGTGTAATAACTAGAAACTGAAAACATGTATTTAGAAGAGATTTGTGTCTCTACGCTGCACAGCACAGTGTGGCAAGAAGTCAGCATATAGCATGTTGAATCATTCACTTTAAGATTCTCATTCTGAACTGAGGTTTCAAATCACAATCATGAAACCTGAATAATGTTGGACCTTAAAGCCCGTTAATCATGTAGTAATGATGGATGACGAATACAAATGCAGCAATGAGCTACAGGAAAATATTCCCCTTCCCCACTGTCAGACTTTGACCTTCCTGAGGTTAGACTTTGATGTGAGAAAGTCACAGTCTGAATTTATGTTTGGGAGAATTGAACGCTAAAGGAAATCTGTTTTAAACATCAGCCGTCAGAACACAGAGATTACAGCTTTACATATGACATAATTATAACATGTTTAGTAAAACCGGAGTAAAACAGATCAGAGAAGAGGACAGGAAGCGACAAGCATCCTCTCAGAAGTGGAAAAGTAATGAAATGGGGCCATCTAGTGGTGGAGATGTACCATGTTTAAAAGTTAGTTATTTACTGTAGAAGTTGATTAAGTATTCCCTTGATATAAAAACCATACCACCAAACTTGCCTATTTATAAACTAATTAAGTCAAATTTGTATAGGATTTAATTACATTTGGTGGATGTTGGATGTGAGCACATCCTCTTCCCGTCACATGATCATTCAAGATGCAGAGATCTAAATAAAACACAAGCCCCAAAAGCATCTCAACATTTGGATAAAAAGATCTGCAAACAAACTTTTTTTCGGCAGTTGAACACAGACAAACACACACACACAAAAAGGAGGTTATTATTGCCTAGGAGTTTTTATTTTCTACAGGAATTTACAGCAAAAAAAGACTAACACTGTTGTTGCTAATATTCAAAAAGGTCCTGAAAATCAATTCTAGCACTTTTTTGACAGGTATTAAAAACACACACACCTCCCGTCTCGGCCCCGCCCCTCACTCCAGTTTCCAGGGCAAGTAAATATTGCATCAATAAAAAATAAAATACATATGATAGTTTTTTGCATTGGCACAGAACAAAAGCAGACGGGCAGCAGACGTGGGGCAGAGAGGATTCAAGAATCACGTTTAGTTTTAAACTGCTAGGAGAAACAGATGTCAGGAACCTTTTTAAATGTTTGAAACTTTTTATTTATTTTCCCCCAAAAAACTGAAATGTTCTCTTTTTTTCCTATTCCTGTGTGTTGAATAGCTTTTGCCTTTTCATCCCAGGATTCCTTTTATGTTTCCATATGTATCGATTTAATTCCAATTTCCTCCTCGTTTGCCCTCTGGATCTCTCCATTTCTGGCTTTTTAGATTTAGATCTTCATTTGCAGAATTTGCTAATTCACAGATGACTGAAGCCTGTTTATGTGCTATACTGTATTTCTGGTTACCTGGATGAATAAAACACTGAGTGGTATGACATGGTGGCATTACTTCTTACTTTAAAGTGGTTGAAATGTTACAGACGCCTTTAACTTCACTTCCAATACATTAAGACAGTTAGTACATAGGAAACCGTTAAAATTGTCAAATTAGAAGCAGAAGATCATGAGAAAATGTGGACATCTGGTTCTCCATGCAGATTAAAACAAAGTCAGAAAATAGTATAAGCAAACATAGTGCGGCCCAAGTTTGCTTCCAGCTGTTTGTGGGACAGTAAGGCCGAAATACTGTATGCCCGAAATATTTAAAAATGAATGCTCTAAAATAAAAGGGCGTCCTGCTTAAAACCTCCACATCTCGGAAGACGGAAACTGTGCCCACTGTTGTGTAGAAATGCCCACATTATGAAGGGCTTGGTGGAAAACTTTATAATGTTTAGCCTTTGGAGAAATGTTAGAAGATTCATACAAAAGCTTCATTTTTTTCTACTTTGCACTATCTGAAGATGGCTTTGTTTTCATTACCTTAAAGCCTCCTACAAAACACTTGGAAAAATATCTACAGTATATTCATCTAGATTTGATGCAAAAAATGTTATTTCATTTGCTTGTTTTAATATATAATTGGGGTAAAAAGTAGGATTTGTATGGAACCAGAGGGGAGGGCTGATTTAGAAGCAGCTGTTCATCCACAGAAGAAATAAAAGTGCACTGGAAAAAGCAAGCAGATTTACAAGCCATTTAATCTTGAATTCAGTCTTAAAATCTTACAAAAGGAGCGAAAGAACGACCAATACATAGCCACAGTTGAGTTTTATCAGGAATTTCATTTACGTTTAGATAGACCAGAATAAATAAAATATTTCACTTTTTTCCAATAGAGTGAGAGCTAAATACAAGATTAACTGACTTGCGGAAGTGAATGTTTTTGGATATTAACAGAGGAAGGAAGGAAGAAGAGAGGTGAAAAAGAGGTAAGAAAAGAAACAGAGAGTGAAGGTATACATGGCAGCAGTTTTATAGGGTGTTAATAAACACCTTCATTGTCTCTAATATGCAGCAGTGCGCTACGTTAATGTGTAATAAATCATTTACACAAACAAAAGTCCCCCTCCCGCTCCCAGCTATTACATCTGCATTGCAAAAGAAAAAACAAATAAATAAAATAACAAACACCGGAAAAAAAACTGAGCCTTCAAACCGTATTTAACGCAAACCCCGTATTTTTTCCCCCGGTGGCTACTGTTTTGTTTTCCTCTAAAAGATAATACAGAAGTAGTTTTGATGCAAGATTTGTTATTAATATTATTTTTGTTTTTTTGTTTGTTTGTATTTTGTTTTTTAGAAAAAAACTATTTTTCTTCTTAAAGCGCACTTTCTACTTCCTCTTGGTCCGGTGGTGGCTTCTGATTGGCCGGTTAGTCGCTGTCTTCATCGCCCACTGGGTCTGCGTCCCAGCACGTAATGTCAATCTCTGAGCAACAAACGCACAAAAATATGGTATGATATTAATATTTGTTGGTGTGATTTTGTTGATATGGAGTGTTGGACTGTTAACCTTGATTGATATTAATGGACTGGGCGCAATAATAGAAACACATGTCAGCATAACAAAAAACATTTGAACATAAACTGGATCTTCATGCAGTTTTTGGTAGGACCTCTTAGTTTTAACAAAAACTGAATATTGATCTCTGGACAACTTACTATATATACTACTGAAAACAACAGTTTCACAAGTCAGTCTATCTTGGTGAATTCAGCTTTGTATATGTTTCCGCAGTCATGTCATTCTCATGTCTCTCACTTTTGAAACACATCTACTGTTTTTATTCATGTATTATTACCACTACCTTCTTTTCCTTGTAGATTTTTTTTACAATAAAGTCTACCAGGAATGTGAGGGCCTTATGCCCTATGTATAGTATGACTGAATGTATCCTAAAAGCAATCTTAATTGAGAGCAGCAGAGTTGTGTGTATGCATCAGGAGAACAGTTAAAAATGGAGTTGTGCTAAGTGTTAAGGTTTTATAAACTAAAGGCATAAAGACACAATATATTTGATACATGTTTTTAGACAAGTATCTCACCTGGTGGCTTGTTATAAAAGACAGGCGCAGGTTTAGCCGAGGACTCCGATTGGCCAAATTGCTCCTCCTGTGATTGGCTGAAATAGCCCTCACTTGCCTTTTAAGAAACAACAGACAAGAAAAACATTAAACAAAACTATTAATATGAAAAATAAAACAGAAACAACTTTTTACTTAAAGTTCATCAGAAGCATTATTAACCTGTCTGACCTGAGTCCCCTCCTTCGTCTCCCCGTTGGTCATCAGCAGCTCCTTCTTCTCCCCAGATGCATGCTGCAATGCATGCTGGTAGCTCAGGGTCATCTGGTCCTCGGCCATCACGTCCACCAGGCTGGTGGGGTCGTCCTCGGGGCCGGTGGCCGAGCACATAGACCCCTCAATCATGTCATCGAAGCTGAGGAGGGGCTGAGGCTTGGCGCTGTTGCCGGGCGGGATAGCAGCGTCGCCCATCAGGTCCACCAGATTAGAGGACTGGGAGTTCTGGGACTCGGGGCCGTCGGCGCTGCTGTCCCACAGGTTGACCAGGCGGTCTGTCCCGGACTCCCAGGCAGAGAAGCCGGAGGAGTCGCGAGTCTGCGGGGCCACGCTCTGCACGGGCTTCGTGGGGGCCGAGTCCTGGGCCGGGGCTTTCTGATCCTTCTTTGGCTCCGAACCTGGTGGAGAAAACGAAACACAACCTAAGCAGCGATTCCTTTTTTTTCACATCATAAAGGGGGTCTGCATGCTTTGTCCTCATTAGTATTTCTAAAGAATTCGATTTGTTTTTTGTGGATCACCCCAAACCAAAACTTAATCCATGTTATTATAAAAAGATGTTTATAGTTGTGGAGGCAGAAATTGCAATACATTTTGTTTTTAATGTTGACTTTAATTAAATGTTTTATGTCAACAGATTACACATCATTGTATAAGGTCAGTTGAAAGCAATAATGGGTAAGGTAAGGATAATTGTAAAATGAAACTGATCCTTTTTATTTAAACTGAATATGATTGCTTTCAACAATATCATTATCTGTAATCTGTCGATGTTTCAGTTTTTTCAGTGTGCAAGAGAAATATAAATCAAAATGTGGACTGATAAAACAAAAACTATCTGCATAAATGGATACCACAAGATTTCAGTGATATACATATTTTGTTGTGAATGTACCCTTAAAAAAGTATCAAAATTAAAACAAAGCCTTTGATTATGTTTTGATTTTAAGAGGATTTGTACCAAACAAATGTGTTTTGTTAACTCTGTACAATATAATGTATAGGTTGAAATATCTATAAAATGTCATAATGCTTTATCTATAATTGTATATTAACACAAACTAGGCCTTTAACAAATATTCCGCTTCCTGCATTTTGAATGTTCTCCAAGTCCACATAGCGATTACATTTCCATTAATTAATTGATGATATATTTCAACATTGTTTTCAGGTTCACTCTCACCCCACTCGTCTCTGCCGTCCTCATCCTCCCTGCTGAAGTCCTCTATGATGGAAGTAGTGACTATTTTAGGGATGGGTGACACGGCGGCCATGTTGAGATCTCTGCTTCCTTCATCGTCAAAATCCCCTAAAGGAACAGAATGGCACAACAACATCGAAAGGGTACGGAGCAAAAAGTCACCGGCAAAACCCTTCTATAACAAAATAACACGCATAAAACCAGATGTGTTATTCTACTGTAACACAGGATGTTCAACTGGAGCTGTGTTTCACATCATTTTTTGTAAAAATTTGCCAGAATTTGGGAAAGAAGGAACATTAGGCTGATTTAAAATAGTCTTCCGATTTTTGTTTTCTGATATAATCCTAATTCAAATAAGGTTAATATTTGTACCTCCAGTCACATCCGGTGTTACTTCAACACATACAACAGTGCACAAAACTACAACATTACATCACTTAGGCTGTAACACAACCAGCAAACACATATATGGTCACTGAGACAATCTGAGTTTCTAACATTGTCATCTTTGTTTAATACTTTATCACTTTAAAAGTTGAATTTGTATGGAGAAGTGAAAAAAGCATAACTCCCCAAACTATCTTTGGCACTATGTAATGTTTGTGGAGCATAACTTTAGTAATGCCATGGATTTTGATCTAGTGCCATCATCAGGTCAACTACCAAATGTGTCCAATACATTGGTGTATTATCTCATTCCTGCAGATTTCCATCAGCTTCTGTTGTACTTTCTGTTTATTGCCAATGAGCAATGGCTAACATTATAGCTGCACAACATCAGCATGTTAGGCACTTTGTGCTAATTGCTTCGTGTTGTCATGCAGAGCCACGAGCATGACTCTAAACTCTTCATAAAGTTCATCATATTTGTGTCAAAACATTGAGACTTTGCAAGACATTTGTGCAAAAAGCCCAGGTGACATTGTTTAGAGGACACACTGGACATGTCATATTGACAGAAGAAGAAGTAAATGGAGAGTAACCAGTAAAGTTGAAGTTAATAAATACGAGTAGATAGGACAGTGACATATTCCTGGTACCATAATCGAGACACAACACTATCATGGAGCATGTCATGAAACAACCATCAAATATCCTCTGAGCATTCATTATAATGGCATCACTGCAGTGGGACACAGGTGAGTCACAATGCTGATGGATCCAGGAATACAACTCATTATGACAAACATCAACACAGTCAGGAGAATCACTGCCACCATGAAAATGTCGCTCGGGTGATTTCATGCTTGTTGGAGTCAGACGTCTGAAGATTTCCCAGAAGACATGAACACAACAAACCACAGATAAAGAACAACAGTGTCTCTTCGAGTAGAAACAACATGGCTGACTGAGATGTGTGACCCTGAAAAAGCGATGAATCACAACATGCTCAGCGGGGTCTTGCTTGGGTGGGTTCTCCAATTCAATTTACGGTCAAAAGCCTCTGAAGGCTCTGAGGGAAACAGGCTAATTGCTGGAAGAAGTGTTTTAAAAAAAAAAGTGATATTCTTCACCAGTGTAGAAGAAAAGTAAACACACTTTCAGATTAAAGGAAGGATTGTAGTTCCAGAGCTGTCTTTGAAAGGTGTCATTAAGGACAGGGATGAACTGGTTCTTTGCCCACCCAGCATAATATCTACCAATACAACACCTACTGTATAGACATGCGCACGGTGCACACACACACACACACACACACACACACACACACACACACACACACACACACACACACACACACACACACACACACACACACACACACACACACACACACACACACACACACACACACACACACACACACACACACACACACACACACACACACACACACACACACACACACACACACACACACACACAACACACACACACACCACACACCACACACACACACACACACACACCACACACACACACACAGCAGATCATAAGGGTTGCTCTGCATGCTTTTGCCCAGTAGCTAACGTATTGCTGTTCATTGTCCGAAGTATTTCATATGTTTTTAAAGAATAACATGTTGTTCAATTATGCAACACCATTTGTTTGTTTTTGGTTTAGCTTGTGAGATCTCTTAGATTTCTTCCCCCAACTGAGATATAAAAGGTGAACGATAGATTTGTGAGAATATATTTTTTTGTAAAACTGACCATTAAAAACGAATAAAAAAGAGTTGCCTTGATTGCTGTTGTGAGAAGTATTTAAGGAATTTAGGACATTGAGTGGTATTTTTCTGCTAAACAGCAAACACTGTAATGCTAAGAATAGTCAAAAAACATGTCTTGTTTTTAAATATCAGCTGGCTTTCACTTTTATACAGCATCATTTGTAAAGTTACGACTTGGATGCCAAAAGGTTTCTTGAAAACAAGGGAGAATTTTAAATGATTGGCAGTAATGATTGATACTTACTGATGCAGTTAATAGGCTAAAACATTCAGAATCACCATTATGTTCCTTTAACACATTGACCACTACATTGAGGTCAAAGGGCAAAGATCCATATTCAGTCAAAGGCCAATAAACAGCGGTGACGACTGACGGACGGCTGGACGACGTCACACACAAACTCACATTTGGGTCAGTCGGTCAGGATTAAAAGCAGCAGTGTTTATGTGTGTGTGTGTGCAGGGAGGTGATGCAGATCCAGGATCAGAGGCGTGAGATTGAGGATCAGAAGAGGAAGGAGGTGACAGAAAACCAGTGAGATTTTGAAGTTAAAGTAACAGCTCTTTATGCCTGTGAAAAGTAGAATTTTCTTCAATAAAAAACATAAAACATCAGGAAAAACATTTTACAAAAGATAATTTGACATCAGCGGCTGACTGGACGACATCTAAAGGATGAAGACTGAAGGGAGGACACACTCAACATCTAGAACACAAACCGACAAACAGCTTTATGGTTTACAGCCATAAAGGATATTGAATTGTCTACTATCGGTGAGTGAAATGCTAGTGAGCAGGTTAGCTTATTATAACCCTAAAAAAGGTTCATGGCTCCATATCAGTTGGTTTTTAATGTACTGTAGGTGTTCCACCACAGTACTGATTCTAAAATACAAGTGAAAAGAGGTATTTTTGTTTAAATCAAACCTTATTTAACTTGAGATACATTTTGTACAAAAAGGAAGTTGATAGGTGCTGAAATATCTGCACTTGAAGGATAATGCTGGCTTTATTTTATTTGTTCTTATTGTCAACAATAAAAAACATCTCAAAATACTATGGCTTCCTGTCTGTGTTTCTCAGATCCACTCCCATTGATATATAGTGAAGACATCAACCCTTAGGAATATGATTTTCAGGTAAATGCTGGGGTAATTTAAATGTATTGGTCATTTAAAAGAAAAATTCAGTGTCATCTATAAATTCACTTAAAATGTTGTGTTTTATCAGGTATATCAGGCTTTATACACACACAAATAATTGTTAGTAGATGCATTCAGTGTCCATTTTGGATCTATTTATAGGATCTGCTGACAAGAAGAACATTTTTAATCATCACCAGACTTATCCTTCAACATAGATCATTACTAATCTGAGAAGCAGCTGCTTCAAACTACGATGTAAAGAGGTCAGGGGGCGATGGAGGTTGTTTGGTGTTGGGGGCAGAGGGAGGGGTTTTGGGGTGAGTTCAGCGGGGAGTGGAGAGGGGATTTTAGGGGTTGGTTTGCAGATGTGTCGGGTGAAAGAGTGAATGTGCTAAATGGAGTGGGTTACAAAAATGAACTTTTTGGAAACTGGAAAGATGAAAATGCATGTGGACTTAAAACTGTGTTTGTCTGAGAGGCGTCATTTCATCGCTGCTGTCTTTCCAATAGGAGTTGTTTTGTTATGCTACGTAGAGTTATACAAAGAACGGTCAATAATGAAGCATACATTGATCCTAGCTAGCGGCTAACATCAATTATCACATCTGTTTGAGCTTTATTCAATGTTACTGTTGAAGTGTGGAGTAAGGCAGTTACATTTTCCATTTAAAGTGATTTTCCAGAATTCTTTCTTGTCCCGAATTGAAAGTGGAAATGTTACAGTACTTAGAACAGTATTTAGAAGTGTACTTGACTGATTTGAGCAGCTTTGAGTTTTTGCAATTGTGTTGGTGCATGAAAAGATCAAATGATGGTTTACTTAAACTAGATACAACATCATTCTGGCTTTAAATGAGGCACATCATTCTGTGCCTCATTTAGGAATATTTTCATCTTATTATTTTAAGGGGCTTGAAAAGTAAAAGATAGTTTAGATGGAAAGCATAATAAAAAAATCAAGGTTATTTTAAGATAATTACTTTTCATGAGATCAAAACCAGAAAAACACTGGTATATTAGTGTGTATACAAATGTACGCGGGGATTATTAAACCGGTCACATTTTCAATATCCACATGCAGTTTCATTCTCATTTCATCTTTGTTTTATGAGTCTTTGTATCTGTGGAAAGGGTTTTGTGATTGGGGAGGGGATATCGGACCATCTGTCTTCTTCTTCTGCTGTTTATCGGTTATGTGCTGTACCTACCGGCGGCGGTGGGCTGTGTCCGTGAGTGTGGCGGGGTGCGGAGGGGCGACGTGCCCCGGGGGAGGGGGCTCGGACTGGGGCTGCTGGGACTGTGCTGCTGCCTCAAGAAGGGGCTGTCCAAACGGCCTGGTGGTCGTGGCGACAAACAGCCACAAAAACCCCGGACAACGAAGATTCAACACAGACAAGTAACAAAAACACGGAGCGACGCCGGGAACAGAGAGATGTGGGGAAGATTGACAGGACAGGAAGACAAGACAGACAAAAAAGCAAGAAAGAGAGCGAGAGTAGAAGAAGAGAGAGTCGAGTAAAAAGCAGAAAGGATTGTTGGAAAGGCAGAGAGTCCCGTGAATACCCATGGATAAGAAAGAGAAATATAGACGAGGAAAATGTGGATAAAAAGAGAGTGGAGGAGTGGTTGATAAGTAAAAGAAGTGGGTGAAATAAATGATAGGGAATGGGGATGGTGAACACAAATGTGGAGTGGAGAGGTAGAGAAATCCCTCAAGGAAAAAAAAGAAAGAGAGAAAGAAAGAGAGGACGTTAGTGTGGCTTTATTCAAACCGACTGTAGACAGTAGACAGTTACGCAGAAATCGAGTTTAAATTCCATTCCTGATTATTTAAACCAGCAAATTCATTATGTCAAGAAAAAAGGAGATAACTTTGTGTCTGTCTTTAGAAACTGAATGCTTGGTGTTTGAAAGACGTGAATCTCCTGCTTATATGCATGAAAATAACAAAAAGATATTGACTTGGATTTAGTTTGTTGCAATATTATGACTTTATGGTAAATGGGCAAAAAAAGAAGTGGGCGTATTAAAACATCTAATTACAACTACAATTATTGTATTGTTATTTACCTTACAATACATTTATGAGGAATATGCCCTTGCATATTGATGGGTCAACGCTTTGCCGATTGTTCAAGTTTGCCATGGTTTACTTTTTTATTTACCTCACAGGTGCAAGTATCATCATCATCATCAAGTAGAAGCAAAAGTCCAGCAACACTTTTAGTATATCGAATTAATGTAAAGCTTGAGGATGAATAATAGTGTATTTTGGACTTATTACTGCCCATAAAGCCTATAAAGTGTCAACAGTTTGAGAAACTCTCAGAGGACACAGTGGAAGGTTTTTAGTTAAAATCATCATGAAACTGTAAAAGCGTGGGCAATATATATAATATCATAAAAGTGGAAATGACATCCTTGCCACTGAGATGTTGTCTCTGTTTGAAGCAGGGTCATGCAAACACTAAAGCTGCACGCAAACCACATGGAACAAATTAACTCAAAAGTAAAACCACATTAAAGAAGCTCAAGTGTGTCACAAGGCTCAACATCCATCAAACTGTGAGAAGAGATGATGGATTTATACTGTTGTCTCTTCAATGTTGGGATACCGGATGTTACATTTAAACTCTTTCCTCTTTGTCATTAGTTTTTCTTTCAAACCTTTTTTGTGGCAAATGTGCATATCTTAAAATAAAAGTAAAGGTCTGGTTGGATGGGATAGTGGTGGTCTAATGGATAGTGAGGTGGGCTGAAGATCGGAAGGTTGTGAGTTCAAATCCCGCCAGGAACACCACCACTAGTGTGCCCTTGAGTAAGGCACTTAGTCCTTAGTTACTCCAGGGAGAAAGTCCCTGTAATCGGTCATTGTAATTCGCTTTGGATAAAAGCGTCAGCTAAATGAAATGTAATGTGATGTCGGAAGGAAGTCGCAACTGAGGTGATTTTGAAGGTGACGAGTGAAAGGTTGAACATGTGATAATCCAAACGTCATGAACCCTCACACCCACTGCCTCCCCCTTCAGGTGTGTTATCAAACTATTGTAGTAAAAAGAATCCCTCTTGAATATAGTGGATTAAAAGTATAAATTAGCATTACATGGAAATAGTCAAGTACATTTTGACATAACTGTACGACAGTATTTGAATAAATGAATAAGTGATCTTGTAGGCAGGCGTTTACATATCTTACTGTTTAAATTTAAGAGTAGAAAAATAATAATCTGGTCTTAAAAACCCCTTACAGAAAAGATTATTTTCTTTAGACTGGCATATTAAAAAAATGTTATAATATATAAGAGATATAAACACATCTTTCATTCTTTTAAGGATGGATAACAGCTTAAGACTTATAGAGTACATTTACAGTTAGTTTCCCTTCTTTACTTATGTCCTTTCGACTCGTTCACCCCTGTTTAACCATTGAACAATATTGGATTCTGGTAATACTGCAAATGTTTTTATTGTTCCAGTTTAAACCAAAATAGATTGAACCTAGGAGATAATTTGTTAGGTGAGTTTTGGTGCTTACCGCTCCTGTGGACGGAGACGGGTGAGGTGTCGACGCTGATGGTCATGGCTCTCTCCTTCTGCTTGAAAAACTCCCGAGGGTTTCCTGAGCGCTGAGCGATGATGGCCTTTGCCTCCTGGAAACACACATTATATGATACACACAATATTCAGCAATCTGGACTACAGTGTTCCCTGTTCCATTGATGTCAAGCCAAATCCTGCAGGAAAGTTCAATATCTTTACTCAGAATTTTCAAATAAGAGTAAAGTTACTCCAAAAAATGAAAGAGCCACTTTTGACTCACCTCCGCCTCAGTCTCCTTCTTGTCCAGGTTGAGGTCATCGAGGCTCGCTTTTGCTGCCTGCAGAGAAGAGGAACACACATGAAGGTTTAAAGAACAATCTAGGAAAGATATCATTGCAGTTGTTGCCTGTAATGAGCAGATGAGCTTCCTCTGCTGTAGCTGCAATAATAACAGCTAAACATTTTTGGTTTGATAAAAAAGGTCTGATAGTGCTGACTGAAAACTGCCTGACCCCTGCTGCTTTCTTCCCCTCTTCCATAAGTTACAAAGCCTAAAGTTCCCACGGTCCATGAACTCAACACAAGGACAGATATTAAGATGTTCATATGATTAGCCAAAATATATATTTGTTTCCTTCTTCTTTTTTTTTTCAAAGTCAAGGTCAACTTTATTGTCAATCTTTCAGTTTGTGTGTACAGACAGAGAGATCGAAATACCGTTTCCCACAATCCCGAATACAAAAAAATACAAATATATATAAAAATGTATACACCTATATACAGGGGTGCACATAACTTTCTCAGTGAGTTACTCAAATGAGTACCAGGAGACAATGTTTGGTACTCAGGGCTGCCTGTGCAAAGTTATGTGTTCAGCCCCTCTGTTTCTCGAATGTCGACGGGAGGGGTGGGCGCTAGTGGAGCACGCGTGTGGAACTCGCGCCGGAAGTTGTGGCACAATTCCGTGGTACACACCGACGTTAACAGCAGCCCGTCTGTGCACACGGCGACCGGCTTTGTCGTCCAGTGATCGACGCGCCTTCTGGAAATGCTTCACAAGTCCGCCGGTACGCAAAAACGCTTAGTGAGACAATTGACGGTGTGCATTTCAGATGTTTGCCGTACCTGCGTACCAGTTATGTACACCCCTGCCTATATATACACAAACAGACACATGTATACATATGCACACATTAACACATAAATAAAAGCACAACAAACAATATATACAAAATAACAGTCACTTCAATTTCTTGGGGAAATGTACATTAGTGCAAGAATATCAGAGCTGTGCAACAAGCCAGCAAGCAGCTGATGCAAGATGAGGAAAATAAACCACACACACTCACTGTCAGAGTATAATCAAACCCTTAAAAACAAACCCCACTGTCTGACGAAAAGATTACATTTTTGTGTCGCAGTGATTTAAAATGGTTCTTTTTGGAGAGGAAGTGATGCTCTGATGGGCAAAGTGTGAATAAGCTCAGGATAAAGTAAATGCAGTCGTATGGTAAAACAGAAGGGTATATTACTGTAAAAAAGTTGGATGAGCAAGATATCCTGTAATGTCACAATTATACAGTTTTTTCAACACTGACTTTGTCTGATATTGATTGCAGTGTTTGTCCCAGATGTAAAGACACAGGAACGTACCATGGCTGCCTGGCTCTGCAACCTCTCTTTGGCTTCTTCCTCCTCCAGCAGCTTCTTCCTGTTCTCAGATAAAAACACACAGATTAGAAAATACTTTACACTCTCCTGACACCTCGAAATTACCCGATATTTAAATACCAGAACCAGGGTCTTGTTTCCCTACGATCAATCTGGAAAGCTTCATGGTGCTAAATATGATTTTTAATACAATTGAAAGTCCTTTTGCACATATATTTGATGAGCATGCAAGACTTCTGCAAGACTGTGGTGGAAAAATAATTCAGATTATTTACTTCAGTAAAAATACTAATTCCACACAGTAAATATACAAATGTTCATGTCAAAGTACTGCATCAATAATGTTTGAAGTGATTCATAAAATATTTGAAAGCAAAGCAGCAAATATTAACATTTAAGAAGCTGGAACTGTGAAATAATATTTTGAATTTCTGTCTCATGGTTTTAGTGACCAAAATATAATGTTGGATGGTTAAATCTATACCAAATAATCCTATTTTAAAACATTTCCCCTGTGCAATAATCTGAATTTGAAAAGTAGCAAGTCAATCAATCTGTAAAATAAATAAAGTGGAGTAATATGTACACAATTGGCCTCTAAAATGTAGTAGAGTAGAAGTATTAGGTTGTAAAAAGCAAAAATTCTGCAGGACTTTTTTAAACAAATTACACACAACCGTTATTGAGCCATTTGCAAATTGTTAAATGAAGTAGCACTTGTCCTCTGCAGTGTCACTCCTGAAATAGATGTTCTTAGGGAGAGTAGTTGTGTTCCTCACCGGTGCTCCTCGATCTGCTGCTCCCTCTCACGGTATCTCAGCTCTCGGCTCTCCTGCTCTTTCCTCTCCAGCTCCATTCGCTCCTCGTCAAAACGCTGCCTCTCCTCTGCTACCTTCTTCTTCTCCTCCTCCTTCCTCACCTCCTCCTCGCGCTGGAGAGCAAACACAGACACAGACACAGACAGATGACTTTACATTTGATTTGGCTGATGCTTTTATACAAAGCAACTTACAATAAGTGCAAGATTCAAACTCCGAACCACAAAGAGAGATGTATTCACTTCAAGCAAGGCATACCGTTGTAAGTGCTGGTGAATTAGTTTCAAGGCCTGAATTCATTTGAATGCTTTTATTTTAGAATTGAATTACCAAGGTACAAACCAAACAGATGGGTTTTCAATTTGCGATGGAAGTTATGTAGATTTTTTGCTGCCCTGATATCAATTGTGATCTCATTCCACCATTTAGGAGCCAAGGTAGCAAACAGGCGTGTTTTTGAGGGGTCCCACTCGATATTAGTGGTCTCGTTAAGCCAATCTAGTCTCTTGATGTCTTTATTTACAATTTATTAAATCTATATTTAACTATATATGCCTAAACCCCGCACCTTATATGCATAGTCTTCTAAATATGCACCTTATACAAATAAATGTATTCATTCTTACAGCATTGTTCTGTTATGTGAGTTCATTGAAAACTCACACACTTTACTACTCTTTGCACTTCCTGGTTGGACGCAAGCTGCTTTTCGCTGTACTCTGTGCTTTGACAATAAAGTTGAATCAAATAATCTAATCTAGATGTCTTGTTTTGTCAGACAGAGTCGAACACCAAAAATGCTCAGAATTTGGTATTTGATTACTTTAGTTGTGGTGCTGGACCTGTGTGTTTGATATGTACACTTTCTGACGCTGTGAAGTTTAGATGGAGGAAACGCCCTGCAGTCCAACAACAATGCTGTCCTTTCATATTTAGTCTGAACATGCTGAAGGCAGCACAGCTGGAGGACGTAGCAGTGTTTGACTTTGTTCTTCACTTCTACTATACTCCCAACACAGTCATCGGCTTTATGGAAGAGTGAGACGAATAAAACGGATACCACTCTCCTCTTCATGATAGTGATATCAGAAGTTTTCTTCTTCAATAATCAATGCTAACCAGAGGTGGGAAGTAACTAAGTACAACTACTCAGGTAATGTACTTAAGTACAATTTTGAGAGACTTGTACTTTACTTGTGTATTTCCCTTTTATGCTACTTTGTAGTTTTACTCCACTACAATTCAGAGTTAAATAGTCTACTTTTACTCAACGACATGTATTTATTGTATTTAGTTACTTTACAGAGATTAGGGTTGATGGGTAAAATGAAAAACCAAACCGTCAGTAATTCACATCCATCAGTATATAGGCCTTTGGATTTGTACTAAAGCCGAGTGCACAAAGGTTTTCTTGTGAAATGATGTAAGATTATTACCAACACTTGGAGCACCCTTAGTTTGACCTCTAAATAAAGTGAGTGCAATTTTCACAACTGATAGAAATTATTTGAATATTTTTTTCACTTTAGCTTTTTTCCCCAATGAATCATTTTCTAGTCACTCCCCTTGCCTCCCCCATGCTTTATTCCCTTCCCTCCATCTTTCCTCTTCTTCTTCCATCTTGAATCCATCTCAATATTCACGTATCACTTCCTGCTTCTTTCCTCTTGCACACTTACCTTGGCTTGCTCCCAGAACTCCTCCCTATTGATCTTCTTCATCTCCACCTCTGCATTAGTCTTCTCGTACACTGTGCCCTGCGTCGGGGGGGACGTGAAGACAGAGGATCAGTTTCAGAAATCACAGCAGGGGAACAGTGTGTGTCAACGCTGATTTATGTCAATTTCTATATCTATATGAATTGCTCAGCATGAACTGTCTGCTTTTAAATTAACGCTTTATTCCATAAATCAGCTCGCTGCGTCATTAGGTACAAATATACCTTGCTCTAGTTGATCTCTTTTCTGTCTGTTGCACAACATTTAACATTTCATTGAGGATCCCAAAGTATGCAAACACATTCAATATGTTAGGTAGTATTTGGGTGAAATGTGTTGTTTAATTTGATGGTGGTGATTGAATGGTTTTGCATAACTTGGGGACAATAGGTTAGAATAAATATAATGCAGTAAAGAAAAAAAATGTATCTGTTACAATGCTAAACCTACTGAACTTAATAGGGCAAGGGCGTAATTGTTTTGTCAGAGCCCCAAGTGCAATTCAACATCTGGCTCCAGTCCAGCAGGTGGAGACAGGGAGCCTAGGGTCTGTGATTCCACTGAGAATGTGGCTCAAAGGAAGAGTGTGAGCCTCCTATTTAATGAGCTAAATGCAACACACCTGGGAACACACTCTCAGCAGAGGACAAACAATTTGCTGTGAGAGAGGAGAGGAGACTCAGGGATTCGACCAAAGACGCTGCTGGTGAATATTTGTGGATGTATTAGTCTGGTTTAACCATGTTTGATTACATGTATTATTATTTCTAGTCTTATTAAGTAAGAAGCTAACATAAGATGCTGGAATATAATTTACTTTGTTGAGATGCAGTTACTTTTGATTAGATGTTAAGTTTAATTGTAAACTTGATTATGGAGCAGGACAGAAAGTGCTTGTTAAAGGATGGCATGTTTTTATTGAAATGTTTGTTTGCCTAAAATGAATGAAAATATGTTTTGTGTTAAAGGTTTTCAACCTAAAGACTAAATGAGCATCAAGAGGCTAACAAGAAGCTGAATGAAGCAAAAAGGAATCTGCATCACTCAAATAAAGAGGAAAAGATTCAAGTCTGAGTTGTCCCATGTGTCCTTTTGGAAAGAATCAAGCCATTTTTCAAGTTTAGGCAGGAGTCAATCAATCAAACCCAATCACAACTTGACAGTAATCATTTGGTGAAAATATTGAATACAGATATCTCCAAATTGCCATTTGAAGCATAGATTATTGAATAATTCTTCACATTTTTGGTTTAGCACTTTGAATTTCGAAGTGTTTACTAATAACTTCCTATGTTTGTGAGTCTTCCCTCTCCATACCACGTCTTTGTTGTCCTCCTCTCGGGTCTTCAGGCGGCTCAGGACGGGACTCGCCACCACCGCCGTCCCATTGGTCAGCCTCTGCCCGATGGCCGACGGCTCGATGTCCTCCAGACTGCTGGCGTTCACAGTCAACTCCACCCCCTGGACAGAGAGATCACATTTCATGAGTAAGATAAGATGGACCTTTATTATTGAGATTCAGGTGTTTTAGCAGAAACAGAAAAAGAGAGAAACATGAGAATACACAAGGATAATAACATCGAAATCTGTTTAAGGAAGTGGTGGCCTAGTATGAGGTATTATAATAAGGCATAGCAAAGTGAACACATTGTAAACATCTAATTGGACACTTAGATCTTAAATCATCCCTCACCTCTCTGAATGTCTTATACTTTTGTGTTGATAATTATTCATTTATATTGTATTTTTAGATACATTTTTATGTTACAACAGTATTATATACATGTTTTTCATTCAGTGCTTTGATCTGATTATGGTCATTTTACTTAGGCCATTAAATTAACTAATAAACTTGAATTTCATGTCTTGGTCTTATTTAATGCAAATGGCTTACTTTATTTTAGCACATTAACTGTTTCATACATTTAATATGAACTAATGTGTTTTATTATGTATTGTTCAATCATATGGCACAATAAAGTAGTGTATAGAAGTGTCAGTAAATACAGTTGGGTGCATGTACTATCCTAGAAAAAGACCCATTTTAAGCCGAGGCTGTGTGGGAGCAAGAACTGCCTGCCACTTAAAATAATGACACACACACACACACACACACACACACACACACACGCTAATTACATCCTCCCACAGATTTACTGTGCTGTAGAGCGTTGATTTAAAAAAAAAAAGAAGGTAGATAAACATTCTTTGTGATAATAAAATAAATACTAAAGCAGATTACTTTACAAAAAACGTCAGGATCTCACCTGTAAGAAGTTTGCGATGGTGGCCACGTGGCTGGCACAGGCACACTTCCTGGCATCCGCCACGTCATCTCCGACCTTAAAATGTAAAAAGAAGAGAGCATGACCTTAAGAAAATGCAAAAGAAGTTCATCAGTGACGAGTTTCATTGCCTCTTTGTCTGCCAAGTGTTTAAAGGACATGTTCTCTTTATCCTGTTGTCATTAGAGCCTTTAGTTCAGCTTTGGTCATGTTCACTTAATGAAACAGTTTATTATTATAATAGGCTGGATGTAATTCAGTAATCATGGCTCATTCAGACCAATTCAATGCAGCGAGCAATAATTGCAGAGAGAGAGAAACGGCTTCATTTCCTGTGAATTGATGGCAATTTATCTCTCAATAGCAACATTTAACCACTTTATCCATCTGTGTGTGTGATAGAAGAGGAGAAAGCAAGAGAAGTAGCGTGATTGTGCTTGCCTGATTTTTAAGACATTCTGGTACTTTGATATCTAACGGTGTATTTTCTGTTGCATTTTGAAAAGTGAAAATGTCCACCTTTACGCGGTTTGTTGCAGCTCTTTAGAGAATGTAAGTGCAGCAACAAATCATGCAAATAGGAAATAAAATATTTTATCAGTAAAAAAAACATAGTCAGAAACAGCACATCAATTTTCGAGTCTTGCCAGTAATGCTAATTAGGGCGTTATCACAAAAATGGTGTTGCAAAATTGTAGTATAAAATCGTGAATTATAGGATACTTGGGTGGCCGGAGATAAAGAAATTACTACTATTAATTTTTTTTAAAAACATTGCTATTACTATTACAGGGTTAACTAGTTGGTTCTTCTCATTAAAATATTTTCTTTTTGTCAAAGCTTGTTACGTTTAATTTCCAGCTTGTTTTTCACTTAGAATATATTAAAGTTTGATTCCCCTGAACCACAGCTTTTTGTTATGCTGCTAACAACCACACAGATCAGTGAATAATAATGTTCAACTTGTGGTTAAAGTGTGTTACAAATAGAAAGTGCACTCAGTGGTTGAAGTGGACACTTAACTTCATCACGGATGCACAAATTTAATTTCCGATCAGTAAAAACTCAAAATCATCAGGTAGAGCAGGGATCCTAAAAAACACATAAAAACAGCAGCTATATGATGAAAAATATGTTGTAAACTAAATATATTCTTCACAATAATAAACACTGGGGTTACAGTAAAATTGAATCACCTCTGACTATAATGCAGACCAATACAACACCATCACTAACTATGACCTTACTGCTAAAACATATCAAAGAATAAAGACCTCTATGACGGTGGCAACAAAAAACCTAATAATTATAGGCATCAATACAAAATAAATGTTGTAATAGATTGCATTAGATGACACTGTACTACTACAACTAATACTACTAAAAAGAGTTGGGCAAAAAGAGTAATCTAATGAGTTTCGATGTAGTAAAGACAATCTGGATTTAGTTCATACCCGTCGTTGACATGGTGTTTCTAAAGAAAACTGGTAATTAAAAACATGCCGTGATCCTTAATGACTCCAATATGTGCCTCTAATATGACATTCTGGTGTCTGTTTGTGTGCATGGCCTGAGGTGCCTGAGGTGTCTGGCGTTGCATCACACCCCCCCCCCCCCCCCCCCCCCGACCCCGGACTCACCCAGTTGATGAGGATGTATCGTGGCAAGGCGGCGGCGGGCTCCTTCAGGCTGCAGAAGCCGTACATCACCCGGGCGCTGTCGAAGGTCAGCGTGATCCCTGCCAGCCCGCCTCCTGCAGAACAGAGCACAAACTGCATCAGTCCTGGACTACTATGTTTCATAATGCATGAGGAATTTTATTTATGCACCTGCTTTTAATTCAACTATTAATATCTCACACTGCACTGCAACTTTTATTCATGTGTTTTATACCTGTATTATTCTACATTAGCTTTATGTTTATTTTATTCTCTTTGCATTTTAATTACCGTTTTTAAAATACCATTTGATAATGTTATTCCGCTGCACTATTTCCCAATGCCCTTAATGTTTTTCATTTTTGTAAAGCACTTTGAATTGCCTTGTGTTTAAAGTTCCTACAGTATATAAATAAACTTGCCTTACCTATACTTAACCATTAAATGGGCAATCAAATATAAATACACATCAAATTAGTAGTTAGCTTTTTTCGATCAGTGATGTCCTCTATTTATTTATTGTTTGGTATAACAATGTTGTGGTATTTTAATTCTTGCTTTTAGGATGCCCATCACCATCTGGCAAAGGGACTATCGGTAAAAACTAGCCTTTTGGCTAATTCGAGTACTTTTACATGTTTTTAACATGTTGATTAATGTACACTGTTCCTTGTTTTAAATAAATCAATTCAATACACCCATACTACATTGTTATTACACCCATACTACACTGTCATAAGACCCATATTACACCCATGTAATAACATCCATATAACATCTTAATTACACTGTTACTATACCCATATTACACTGTTATTACATCCCTATTACACCCATATTAAACTGTTTTTAAACGAGTTATCCTATATAAATGATATTATTCAATCATTTGACTTTGACAGAGGCCATACTTTTACATTCTTCTGTGAAAACTCCTGACCTATGTATGTTGAATGCTTGACCTTCACTTATATTGTGAATAATGTGTTTTACATATTTGGATTGCTACTTTCACTAAAGGAGAGGATCTAAATACATTCCCCCCACTGTCTGCAGAGGAGCATCGTGTTGCAGGCTGCTAGTTGTTTGCCTCAGATTATGATCCTGATCCCTGTATCTATCCGTGTATCTGTCAGAGATGGGCACACATTTGTAAACAGCACACATACAAACACACAAACATGACTCTGGTCTACTCTGATCTGAGGAGGCAGATAGATTTCCTCTGAGGTTTACAGCGCGGATAAACCGGTGCGTTTCCTCTGAAATATTCACGGCTCTGCCGACACGAGGCGAACTGAGGCCGCAGCTGGCAGAAGTGGCTCTTTATCCTGCAGCTCTCTAGCATTAGTGATGCAGGCACTTCACTGTAGTAGCACAGTTTATTCCTCTCATGTGATCAGTTCATATTCAGGAATCTGCATTGATGATAGCATTAGACTCACAGAATAAGCTGTGCTTTTAATCAAAAGTGCATTAAGTAAAACCACGAGACACGTCCAGCTCTTGAATAACATCTACCACATTTTTTAATATATCTAAGGCGAGACCAAACCAACCATATCTTACATAAGGGCTTTGGAGCCATTTGCTGTGCCAAAGCGATATAAATACATTGTTTAATTACAAACAAAGCTCCATTGAAGTTATATATATAAACATTATAGTATGATTCAACTGGCTAGGAGACTCCTATGGTTTTGTGCTAAGAATAAATACGGAGATCATAAATAGAAAACTCCAAATGTGGGGAAAATCCCGAACATGTGTATATTTACTCATTTAGACATACCATTATGCAATGATATCATGAAAGGGAGGAAGAAGAAGGAGCCTTTCATACTGTATGTGTGTTTATCAAATACGGAGTAGTCTCATTAAGCTGTAATGATCATGCAGCGCATCATTAACTGCTGTAATAATGAACCCCGCGCTCTGATGGCTCAGTAACAATGAGGAGAACAAAGATCGTTTTTCCCCCAAAGCAGCAGCAGATCCTGCAGAGCTCATCAAAAGTTACAACCGCAGGTCTGCAGCAGCAAATTACAGCCGCGCCACACATGGTGTTAACATGCTTACCCACAGCCATCAGTTCATCAAGACATACAAAGAAAGAGAACAGCTAGATGTGTCATTTGGGAGAGATGAAACTAATGGACTGGATTGATGATAAAACATTTAAAACGTACCTCCTGATGATGCCAATTTCAAATCATCGCTTTCATCCTCATATGTGTACAAGGCCCTGTTAGAAAGAGAGGGAGAGTATGTGTGAAAAAACAAGACAAAGTTTCCCCTTCAGAAACAATACAGTATAATTTAGCATGTGTTTTTCTAAAGGACTAAAACATATGTATGTATTCATTGATTTAACTGCAATGCATTTTTCAATAGGCCTGAAAGAATTAGTCCAACAATGGATAATCAATTTAGCGATGCTTCAAGCAACAATACTTGAATTCAACAGTCATTGCAGTAGCCAAGCACTAACATTAGCATGCTAATATGCTAACTTCACAATAAAACACACATTTTTTGTGATTATAGTGTTTACTATGTTCACAATAACAGTATGGCATGTACATTTAGAATGCTAAAACAAACATAGTACATTGTATATCTGCAAAACATCAGCATGTTAGAGGCCAATATTAGCATTTAGCTAAAGCCCCAATGTGCCCAGAAACATCTCAGGGAGCAGATAGCAGATAGCTTCTTGTTTTCACATAATACAAATGTAGTAGGCAGACACTTTCGCCCAAATTGACTTAAGTGCATTTGAACCACTACTATCTATGACCAAGAGGTAGGAGTTAACAACAGTTGTAAGTACATCCCTCTGAGTGCAACAGAACCGGAGCGTGGAGTGCTTTCCTGTTTATAAGGAGCCATCTCTTCTACTGTATATCAAAAGGTATTTCAGGCTCATTTTTTGCAATGTGTGAATTAGCATTTCCTGTAAACACTGCGGTGCTAGTACTCACAACACAACCATGCTAATATCTAATAAACATTAGAAAACAAAACAGATGCTTCTTGGTGAAGATGGCCAAGAAAACAGAGGTCAACAGAACAAGTGACTCCCATCGTCACCAGACACAAGTGTTACAACCCTCTTTAGGAAGACTAAGAGCTGTTTTATTTGCTCAACTGTGTGTGTGTAAAGCAGATTACAGAGTTTGATTAATGACTGTGGGAACTCTGTCTGTCTCTGTCTTGATAATACAAATGCACATCCTTAACAAACACAGTTTCATACCACTTAGTGAGGACATTCATTGACCTAATACACTCCCTATCTAAAACTAATTCTACAACCAAGACTAAATGTCCTCACTTTCCGGTCTAAAGCTTCACACACATTACAAAGTCAAACACTCACACACTGTAACAAAATGTCTCTCTTAGTTTGACCTCTGTGGTCCTCTCTACTGATGTCTTTTTTCCAGACAAAAACTTTCCAACTTGCCACAGTTATAGCAGGCACTATGTACTCACTGCATAATATAAAATAAATGACATGAATGCCCACACACCTCCATATGCATTCACACACACATTCACCCCTAACCTCCCAGGCTGAGGTTAGAATAAAGGTGACGGAGATTACAGTTTAGCTGTCATCTGCAGATTAAACAGTTTCCTGTGATGACCCTGATGTGGGATCTATTAACCTGCAGGTCAGAATGCATTTATTACAACTAAAGCTAGGTTTGTAAAAATAATATTCATATACATAATTTATTGCAAAGCTGGAAAAAAATCTCCAATACTAGTTTTTGTACTGAGGCCCAAATCTAAAAGGTGTATCATCTGTATGGTGGCCATTAAGGGACATCTCAAACTCAGCTCCATACTGTCAAACTTGTTTTAGCTTTTATCCGTCTAAATTCGACCTTGTCAGCTTCAACTATATTCAATATATCATTTCTAACATATATCTTTTTTTCCTTTTCTTAAAATAACCCCTCAATAGTTCAACATGTATCTTCCAAATGTACTTGGGTGTAGCATAAAGTAGCATAAAATGGAAACACTTGAGCAAATTACACATATATTAAACGTGCACTAACGTACAGAAAGAAAGCAAGCTAGTGAATTTCCACCACTGGTGTATTTAGATTCATTTCTATGGATTTGACACGCAGCAGTATAAGTGATTGACCATCTGGTACGTGAAGTGGAGTAAAAGAGGATTTAAAAGTGTCAGAACTTCCAGTTATTAAATACTGGGTCTGGATGGAGACAATGAGTTCATTGCTTGAAATAGATTTTTTTCTCCATATGAAATGCATGCTGGGATTGAGGTTAGGGAAATTACCCTTTAATCTATTAGGGTTTCAACTGGAGATTATCAACTGGAGAGCAGTGCACTGTAGATTATTGAAGATTATATTTTTTAAACTGCAATAAAAACTATTCACCAAACTCATAATCAGCTCAAAAGCTCAATGATTGCATACATGTATATCGATTTAAGGGTGCTGAATTTCATTTAAGTCTGAGTGCACTTTATATATCTGCATTGGATTATGCATTTCTTTAAACATCAGAAAAACAAATGAGAAAGTCTTGGTGATGGGGTGGATTTAGGAAAAAATGTACCCTCAATCTGGGGGAAAACTCTGCAAGAACTGTGTGCATTGTGCGTCAGATCACCACTTTTCTTTTAAGATTATTTTCATAAAAAATACCAAACCTTACAATTACAATTGAACAGTTGGAAGGGAATATACTATTTTCTGATTATCTACAAATTCAGTTTATGAAACAAGGGTTTCTTAGTTTACCCATATTAAATACATAGGGGAAACATGACAAGTCAGATGTGAATTGTGAACCACCAACTGAACCATTTTACAATGATACAACATGAAAATATAAGGTTTGTAATATTTCAAACATCACTGTTAGTATGCATACAAAAATACCAAGTATATACATTTTTCGGAGTAACACTGGAATCTTAACAGCGTGATTTGTTACTCACAGTGGCATCCACCATTGTAGTGTGAGAGGCGGGTATTACCAGTCCAGATGACCTCATGTGTTTTCAGCCTGAAGCTTTAGTCTGGCCAAGGTCTGATTTTCTGCTGACCTCATCTCCCCCCTCCACCCTGTCTGTTTCTGACGAGTCACTCTGTGTTTTTTCTCCCCGCTCTCCTTGCCAAACTGTGCATTTCATCACCAAAATCTCCTTTTCCACTATCAGCTCCATTTCTCTATCATCAGTTTCGGTCACAGGCAGCTGTTGTCAGCATAACAAAAGCAGTAAAAGCCTTCTGCACACTCTGTGCTCCAACTGGGAGACTGGCAACGTTACCATCTGATGAACAAAGTGAAGCATTTAGCAGATTCAGAACCGGATATTTTTCTCATGAGTTAGTGGAGTCCAAAATATAGCTAAAAAGAAATTGAATATTGGTCATGGTATTTGTTTATATGCAGATTTTGGAATGTGAACATGCTACAGCTGTGATTGATGAAGTCAACAATTAGAGGCCCTAAATAGGGCTGCTCGATTATGGCAAAAATCATAATCTCGATTATTTGGGTCAATAATTGTAATTGTGATTATTAAATGCGATTATTCATTGACTTTGAAAACATCCATTTATTGAAAAAAAAAATGTGAACAGTATGTTTTTAACAGTTGATTACCCTGAACTTTAAGTATAATGCAACTGAAAAAAAAAGTAATAATAATAATAAAAAGATAATCGTTTTATTTCGATTACGTTGTTTTCGTAATCGTTGCAAGCCATATTCGTAATCGCGATTAAAATACGATTAATTGAGCAGCCCTAGCCCTAAAGCTGATTTATGTATGTCATGTTACTCACCAAAAATCATGAGAAGCACTCTGACCATCAAACATGGAAAATATCTATATCTATGCTGACGACAGTGACTACTATTATTATAATTGACAGATAAAGTAGCAGCATCAACACAAAATCAGTAAAAAGCTTAAGGGTTGTTTATAGACAGAAAACAAAAAAGAGCATGTCAAGAAATAAGAACATGTAAAAAAGATAGATGGAAAAAAAAGAAGGTTTGAGCGAAAGAGAGGGAGCGTGTTCGAGTCTCACTTGCTCACTAGATGCTCTATAAATAATTCTCTTTAAAGCAGACAGTTGTTTATTATTCATATAAAGCCCTCATGACCTAGAAACAGCTGTGTGTGTGTGCGGGTATATGTGTGTGTGTGTGTGTGTGTGTGTGTGTGTGTGTGTGTGTGTGTGTGTGTGTGTGTGTGTGTGTGTGTGTGTGTGTGTGTGTGTGTGTGTGTGTGTGTGTGTGTGTGTGTGTGTGTGTGTGTGTGTGTGTGTGTGTGTGTAAGCACGTGCAGCTGTGTATGGAAGAGGAGAGGAAGTAAGACGAGAGTAAAAAAGAATGAGGATGAGGAGGACATTTAGGGAGAGTGAGGTAATAGAAGAAGAGATGGCACAAAGAGAAAATGGATGGAGAAGGAGAGGAAATGAGAATAAAAGGATAAGAGGAAGACAGAAAATTAGACAGAGAAGAGAGGAGGCAGGAAGGTTAAAAGTGGGCGGAGAGGAAGAACGAACAGCAGGCAGTGGGATGAAAGATTAGAGGAATATTGAAGAATTGAAGAGGACTCAATTAATCAAATAATCACAAATGTAGCGGTCACAATCATTGAGCTCTTCTATTTATCACTATCACAAGTTATCTTTTCTTGTAAATGTAGCGAGGGAATTTGCAAGAAAAGTTCTCCTTTAGCATTGTCAAGAAAACAATACATTTCTTCTCAGTGAGTTTGATCTAATTTGAGCACAACCTACACAGCCATTAACATCCCGCCTCGCTTCAGTGACGAGCCAACCAATCCAACACAGTCGATTTTTACAGACAAAATAAAGGGGTTTAATAAAGTGCACCAAAACAATATAATGTTAACTGTAATTCAAAAAGCCATTTAGCAACTGTAGGACGCTTTACTCCTTATCAATGGGAGCCAAAGAAGAAGTCATAACTAATTAATAAAGAGTGACCAATTATGTGGATTGATTAGTTTTATAAAATAAATATTACACTGCGGTTAATATCCTGTTTTCAACCATGCTTCAAACCATGACTTTAACATAATTATAATTTCAACCCGAAACATGAACTTTCACTAAACCAATCAGGTTGTTTTTGTGCCTGAACAAATGATATTTCAACAGTGATTTGTAACAGCTTTTGGAGGCAAAGACCACATTTTGGCATCAGATCAGA